GGCGCGCGCACCTCCGCTCCTCGGCCTTGCGCAACTATCAACCGTCAACCACCTTGCGCCCGCCCCCTTCACCCGCAGGGCTCCAAGTGCTTCCAGAAGGACGGCCGCCTGTCCCTGCCTGCGCCCTTCATGCGCGCCGCCTACCCCGCCCTGAGGGACCACCTGCAGCGGCTGCCGTTGGCGGTCACGCTCCAGCTGGGGAATGGCGGGAGCAGCAGCAGCCAGGGCGGCGGGGGCTGCCGGGTCGTGCAGGGGGAGGCAGTGGCGACCGTGCGCGTGCGGGGCCAGGAGCTTCAATATGAGGTGCGCCGGGAACTGGGTGCGGGCACACGGCGCGCTGTGCGTGCTGCAAATGCTGCAAATTCTTTGCGTGCTTAGGGCAGGCGGGCATCCGCGGGCGGGGATGTTCCATGGGGGCAGGGCACCATCTGGATGGGGGCACAAAGATGGCAGCAGTTGTGATGCACGGAATATGTCGCATTGCACTAGGTACTCCAAGATCACGTTTCCCGGCCCCTCAGCTGCCGCGGCAATTTTCTGTGCCAGTAATCCACGACGCTTTGACTGTGTTCGCTCGGTGTTTGACCGCAGCTGCTGGGCTGCCGCGAGCTGGTGGCAAAGCTTGCACCCTGCTGGGTGGTTGGCCTCCGCGCCACGGGGGCAGGCGCCCTCACCGTCAATATGCAGGCACGCAGCAACGGCGGCGGCGGCAGCAGCAGCAACGGCGTTAGCGTCACCGAAGAAGCGGCGGGCGCGGGCAAGCGCGAGGGTGAGGGTGATCAGGGCGGCTGCCGCGCGCCGGCGGCGGAAAGCGGAGGCTTGCGGGCGCCGACCCCGTGCAGCCAAACGCTTGTAAGCCCGGCGTTCGCGCAGCGTCGGGCCGCCGTCGCTGCGGCGGCGGTGGCGGCAACAACCGTGACAATGCCGACGGCTTCGCAGCCTGCTGCGGCGCCCGCGGAGGCCAGTGCAGTGGGCCGGGCGGCCCAACCGGGCCCGATGGGGGCGCCGACGCCGGCGGCGGCGGCAGCGCCCGCGGCTCCCGCGGTGACCGCGCTGGCGGCCGACGAATACAGGCAGACGCATGCGGCCGCGGCTGACCCTTCAGACCTCGATTGGCTGCGGAAGCTCGGTGCGCAAAGTGCAGCGAGAAGGGGGCTGGCGGGCGGGCGGTGCGGCGGTCCGCCGAGGCCCGCGCACTCTGTTTGAGGGCCCCACCCAGACGCCGCGGCGCCGCGCCGCAAGAAACGAGTCTCTCTCCAAAAAAAATGTTTCCTCGTGCGGCCCGCCCCCAACAGCACCTCAGAAACTCCTGGGTCTGTCAATCAGGCGCCCCACACAACCCCTGCCCCTAATAGGCCTGGGCCAGCTGCGGGAGGAAATCTTGCTGGAGGGCCCTGCCTGGACGCTTCTTGAGGCGCCAGCAGCGCCTGTTGGCATCCCGGCCCCTGCCGCCGCCGCCACTGGGAGCGGTAAGGGTGGCGGCGGCGGCGGCGGCGGGGCCGTTGCGCGGCGCCTGGCGCTGATGGTACAGCTGGAGGCGGGCGCCGAGCGGGGCTCGCTGGCGGTGGCCGCGGCGGCGGGCGGGGTGGTCGTGCGCTACCGCTGCAGCGGGGCGGCCACGGGTGCTGATGCAGGCGCGGGCGCGAGGGGGGCGGCGTCGGGCGCCGCCGGCGGGGAGGGGCGGCGCGGGGCCGCGGCCGCGCCCGCTGAGGTGGCGCGGGAGCTAGCAGTGGCGCTGCCACCGGGCCGAAGGATCAGCATTGGTGGTGGCACTGATGTCATTGGCACGGGTGGCGGGGGCGTGCGGTCGCTGCTGGTGCCTGGCGGGCGGCTGGTGGTGATTGCGGGGCTGGAGTGAGTGGCGATGGAGCGGGGCTTGAATTCGAGAACCTCCTGCCTGGCTGCTTTGTGGAATGCTGTGGAGCTGCCTGTCATGTGCCAGAGTGCCGTGATATGCGATTCTGTGTGATCAAAGGATGCACGTGCTTATGGCCGGTCCACAGTGTTTGGCGTCATCTGCTGCACTGCACACCACGCACAGGCTGGCCAGACCTTTTGGCAATCTCCAGCTCACGTGTCCATATTCATGAGATGCAATTTATAGCACAGTGATCGGGCATTGATCCCCGGTCGATTGACATCCACTGAAGGGCTTCCGCAATGCCATCACCCGGGCTGCCCCGCGTGCCGCCTGTCCCAGCAGCCCGCCGCCGTTGAAGGCGCTGACTGCGCCCTCTCGAGGCTGGCTGCTGCTGTGGTGGGCACGCGCCTGACACCCAACGCCCCTCAGGCAAAAATGGTGCCTTACAGCACAGCCCCCCTGACGCAGGGAAGCGTGTGGGTGGCAGGTCGGGGGCCTGGGTGCTGATGTCATGAGCAGCTGGCCGGCCATGGCGCTATCAGCAGCTTGAAACAGGGGCGCTTTGCGCAAGTGCAATCCTTGAAAATGCTTTGAGGGCGCTTAGCTCAGGTGTGAAAAAGGCAGTGCTGGGGGCAGGTGGGGAGGCTGCGGCGGCAGTACACCAGACTGCTTGGCAAGCAGGGAGAGCATGCAGGGCAACCTTGGATGTGCCTGCCGACAGCGCTGAATGTAAGTAGTCAATGTACGGACACGTAGTAAGCATCAAGAAAACCTGTTTTCAGCAACGCGACGGTCTGGATGCGCGGAAAAGAAAAGAAACTTGCGAACCGCAGCGGTACGAGTGACGCAGCAGGGCGCAGTTTGCAGCCCGAGCCCGGCCTGCTGTCAGCGCGATCGAGCGCGGGCGGCGGAAGAGTGCTGAGGCGTTGTGAGAAAGCAGCAATTAAATCTTCTACAGTGTTGTGGATGCACTGCACGGCGTTGACGAGCTCAGGCCGCGGTTGCCACGTCAAGTTACACGTGGTGTCGACTGGATTCTGGCTCGTCGAGGTCTCGGATGATATGTACACTGCTTCTGTCGCACCACTTTGTAAATCTCTCTCTCTTGGCAAAAGCATACTCGCGTAGAGGCTGGGAACCGGCCAAACCCGTCAGCCTGACACTCGCTGACCCTCCCTGACTGCTCCAAGACGTCAATATGCGCGCACTCGCCTTCAACGCCATCAATGACGGAGCCAACGCCAGATCTGCGGCCCGCGGCAGCCCCTGCGGCCCCCTGCCGCCGTCACCACGGCGATCGATCGCGCCACCCGGCCGCCCCGCGGCCGCCGCAGCCAAGGGCCCGCGCCAATCCGATGGCCCGACCGTGATGAGCCTCGTGGCCAAGACACGCGCGTGGCGGGTGCGCGGCGAATTCCCCGGTGCTCAGCGACCCTGCTTTGCCGACTGATGGCGCGTCGCGCATTCCCTGCAGTCACCCGACCAAGCAATCAACACCATAACAGTGACTGCGGGCCAGCATCCTTCGTGCCTTTGATTATCGTACCGCCGGCCGCAAAATCCACGAGCTCACCACCCTTGCCTGAACCCGATGTTTCACGTGTTTCAATTTGGCGCAGCGCCTGAACGAGATCGTCGAGGAGCGGCAGTTTGACCGGCAGGAGGTGATGGCATTCGTCACCAGCGGGCCAGTGGTGAGTGGCGCCACGCAACCCCTCTGCGGCAGCGCGCGCGCCTTTGTTCACACATAAGCATTTTTCGAGCTGAGCCACAGCAGCATCCGCGCCGCCCCGCCCGCCCCACCCGACCCCACGCATGCCCCAAACTCACTCTGCCGAACACCGCCCCCAGCCGCCAAAAAGCTAGCAGTCACCATCAAGGCTGGCCCATTAACAGCTGCCACCTGCACAGGATGCGCCCCTGAACCACCCCAACCCCCAGCCACTGAACCGTTCTTGGCCCTCCCTCAGCTCCCACCTCACCCCCCCCCCC